CGAATCTCCAAGGATCATACTGTTTTTGTCAACTCCATACACCTATGGCAACAGCGCCATATCTCAGAATCTTGAGGAACCTGTCTGCAGGCTAAAATACAGACCATTTTTCGGCTGGTTTCGAGAGATGGACTCTGCAAGCAGCGAAGTAGATACTGATTCGGGTTTTCAATAACAGCTGCTTCAGAACCATAGTTCGTGTAGGCTTATGCCACCGAACCCGCAATGAGACAATTAGAAAGCAAATCGCGGATGTAAAACGAAAATTTTGTCTAACACCTAAAACAACGATGGTTTGGTCATGCATTGCGCAGGGAGAAAGGTGAGAAACATTTAAGCTAGCAGAGGGCTATGAAAACGATTACTAAATATCTAAGTACCATCGGTGCGAACTGTCTCTCCCATAATTCCTTCTGCGCATGGCTAAAGGCGCGGTAAGATACGACCACTATTCGTCATCAATGCCGTCCTCCTTTTCAGTTTCTATTCAAACTGTTTGGATGAACTAACATAGATGCAGGCATCTCGAAATAACTGTGAATGGTTAGCACTAGGTCTTTTCCCGATCTTTTACTCACCGCAAGGCTTTCAAATTGTACGACCAGTTTTGACAGCTGGAATGCTGTTGGTGCTGATAGCAAAGGTTGGTGAAGAATTATTATTACTAACGACATACACACTATCTGTGGTTCTGAGCTCGGAAAAGTCTGGTAGCTGGTAACATAAAAAGTTACTGTTTTTTGAACCCCGTCTGGAGTCCCCAGTACTATCAGGTAAAACACCTTAGCATTAAATATCCTTACTTCTTCAAACTGATTAATGAGTCGGTCCTTATGTTTGCGCTTAGCGGCGCGGCTTTTTAACCAAATCGATCCATGTATTCCAACGGTTTATTCGGAGCGGTTGATCCATGAAGAAAAGTATGTTTCTATGCACACTCACCCAGACGCATTCATTTGTTCCTGTCACTGCAATTATTGCGGTTTCATGATAGATTCTCTTTAATCGTTTAGCTGAAGCTGACAATCTTTTATTAGGTGGAAACCAGTAATCGATTAAACCACGTCAGCTTGTGATCAGTGACGGAACAGACAAAACAGACCATCTATCAACCATCACATGTTGACTTTCGAGTTCATCGGCCGCTCCGCTTGACAATAATTATAATAAAATGTCACACTACTTATGGTTTCAAGTAGTTATAGCCCTAGATAATGCAAATCACAAATGTTGAATTTAAATACAACATACCAGTACAGACATGGAATAAAATAATGCCCAGTTCATGGATTTGACCGTGCTGAATTTATTGAGGAACTTCAAACCATATAGAATAAAGCAGTTAGTTTGAAAACAGAGTCACCTAAACTTCTGGTCTTTTATGAGGATATGGTTTCGAAAGCTCTGAAGTGACAAATCTACTTTGCGTCTGTTCAACCGAAATGTGACACTTTTTACCAAAATACGATGTGAATGGTCTCGTTCACCTTGGACTCTGGAGAACTTTGGTGAGGTCCAAACAGTGCAAACAGGCCTACAGTACATATGGAAGGAGAAAGACAATTTGTAGACCTGCCTGTTTTCGAGGTTTTTGCGTGGATCTTGTAGTCTGCAGTATTCCAATGTGATGATATCTCGTTGTCTTAATGTCATGTAATCAGGATACACACTGTCCTGGTGGACACATTTACGATAACATTTTCTGTCATCCGATATTTGTGAAGATAAAGGTAATTGACATGAAAAGAATTACAAGCAGAGACTAAACCAAGAGTCCCTGTTGCCAATCCATTTGTTGCTTGATAGGTTAGTGCGTCCTTACTAAGCTATACTAACCCATGCTCTGGTTCTGATGTCCGTGGGCTACTAACTTCGTCACTAATTATTGATTTTCATCATAGTGAAAGAGGTATAGATGAAGGCCAGAAGGGAAATGCGCAAACTTCAGTGCGCCATTGTATTTTTACCAGAAGTTAAGGTGTGTAAATTATTACTTTGTCGTTCCAATGTTTCCCTCAAACCTATCCAGCTTACTGTCTATAAGTAAATTTGCCTAACTATGAATTTCCGCTACAACCATTCACGTCCCAAATACCTGGTGATTACTAGTGAAGGAAACGCACAAACTGCACCGGTCAGCTTAGCTGTTGACAGACTTGAGGCCTCTATAGCAAGCATTACCTGCGTTCGGATTACAGGAACGACATCGGTTTGCGGTCATATGAACGTTTGGCCAATGATCCTCAACAATGCGAAGACAACAAAGAGGTCAGTTTGACTTTTCTAATAAAACCATGATAACGAGGACTGGACGCACGTATTTTAACAACAGAACGACTAATGAGTCCTGTAGGACGTTAGGACAAATTTGCGCGTAAAAGCTTTCGTATGTCATCTTGATAATTACTTGAAAGATGTCGTGGCAACTCCCATCTTCAGCCTCAAATTTCGCTTCATGCAGTGCATCTGTGTATAAATGCTTAAGGTGCTCATTTTTCTATAACGTAAAACGAAGCATGGTCCGCTGAGATATCGGTAAGTTTAGGATGTCTTTAAAGGTATCACTGGATTACCGTTTACAGAGCCTATGACAGACGGTCGCAGGGTGTATGCATGTTGTGATTATCAGCTGGGTCTCTGCGATGCAATTTGTTGAATGTGGACTATGAAGCGGTTTAGGGTGAGTGATGGCCTAATTAAGGGTACATTTACATGCCGGTCAAATTTCTGTATTGTTAATCTATCAAAATACTTGCCAGTTTACATCAAGTCTCTTATCAAATGTCGGCTGTGAACGGTATGAGGTGGCTGGTGGTATTCGGTAGTAAGTATAAGGAGTTAACGGCGGAGTTCGATTGCAGTTGATGCTTTTGCGGAAATTTGTGCAAACAAAAGACGGTTTACAAGCTGGTTGCTGACATGTCACCGATGAATATTGCTTCATTCGACAGCAAAGTAAAAAGAATGCATACGAAAACGACCACAGGTTGGCATGAATAACAATACACAATTTCATCGCGTACACGAATATTTCTAGCATATATGTGAACTCGAGACCACGGTGCCCACGTAAAGAATGGTGGCCCTGCTTCCGTTATGTCTTTTGGGATTTTCAAATTCTAAGTTACTGGCATGCATGTAATGGGAGAGAGCCTTCTCAAAGGTCCGTAGGGTGCGCACTACTAATGATTCCAAATAAGGATGAAACAGCCCTCCAGGAGTTTACGGCTTTCTGCAACTAACTGGCCTCATTACGAGATGAGTGCTCGATAGAAAAATTCTCAAACCTCCAACGCTACTTACGTGAAAGGGTTTGTAAATTAGTCTGTGCCCTAACCTGACACTGACGGGATATTCAACTATTCGTTCAGCTAATTCACCCCACTACACCGCCAACCCGATCCAAAGAGGAGATACCCGGATTAAATATCCTAGCTCAGATTTCAACGGTACTTAGGGTGTCGACGGATATTGTTTTCGCGTTTTGCAACACAGACTGGTGCTGTTTGATTTGGGGGTCATCCACATATCTTACGATACTGTGACCTCAAATTCGAAGTCTAGTTGGGTATCAAGAAGCAAAATTACACAGAGGTCGGTTGGAACATCTAATGGACATATTTTGACATGTTTTATTGCTCCAAATTGAAAAGTAATAGTTGTCTGACGTGACGAGTCTAAAAAGATTATTCGGAACATCGATCAGACAAAATGAACAATCGTTGATAAATCCTGCGACAAAATGGCAGATGAGATCAACCGTGATTTTCACTACAAATACAATGTAAGTGAACGGAACTGGACGACTTTTAATCAAAAGGCCAGTGTGACTCCAGAACTAATGCTCAGTATTTGCCGGTATGTACGGTGGAGGATACAAGTGGACGCGATAAAAGTGGAAAAATGAAAGCGATAGAAGCATAAGATTGCTCCTGTGAATAGTTTTTTTTACATGCATTCCCACGAGTGGATAAGAGAATGAAGTTTTTCTAAAAAACAAGGCACTGTCTAGCTGTACCAATAAATCAGATTCTTGCCCATTTTCTGTCTGGGGAAGGTGTTGGACTGTCCACTATGAAGCACTGATCTCAATCAGTTTGGAAACCAGCACGCAGAATTCTCTTACTCCAAAACAGAGTTGCTGACTCCTTTAGAAAGGAAGCAAGGTAAAATTGGTCCGAAAGCCATCTGCATATGTGTCGCAAAGCAACTCATTGACGTCATCATATCGAAAGTTGGAAAGCACTAGCGGAAACGCTCTCAGAAGGATAGTCCTATACTATTGCGGAGCCCACTTTCGGTTGGTTTTTCGAAATGCAGATCCGTGAATCATAGATGTGACTTCTGAAGTTACGCCTCACTAGCTATAGACACTGAATTTATTGTGAAGAGCATGGGTTGTCACACTCTCCCTCATGTGGCTTTCCGAGAAGTACTGCAGAAAATCCGCCTTCTTTGTCCAAATTACCCCGAGTTATGAAAGAGCACACAGTCAAAGCTTGCACCCCACACGATACGTTCATCCTCATTAATTATAATTGTTTCGTAATTTCCAATCAGTGCGTCCCTGAAATTTTCATAAATTTACTTGGGTTCACAACAAATAAAGTTTACTTGTCCCTTAAGTGACTTTGAACGATCAAAGGTGCATGATCATCCCGACTGACTGATCTATGTGAAAAATTAAGATGCGCCATGAATCCTCTTATAAGTTACGTGGTTCCCGTGAAGACATCCTCTTATCTCGTATGCAAATGAAATCTACAGGCTGGTTTCGATTCGGGACGCACAGCAGCCAAGATAGATAAACATTGCTGGTTAAGCAACTAACATTGTGTTGAGTGCAAAGCAATCGGAGCTCGGCATAAAGACGGCATTAGGTCTCATTCTCCTCCATGTTAGAAAGCACAAAAAAATGATGGACATGGTAGCTCTTTTATCGTAGCAACTAAGGTTCAACACGAAAATCGATAAACTGGATAGAAATTGAATACGGTGAGTGGATATGCAATGGTGGTCGTCGGAATGTTGAATTTAATCATTGTATCCGAACAGGCGTTTACCAGGCAGTACAGGCTTCTTCTTGTTCCTGAAAGACATTGGAATCAGGTGGTGTAGGGGAGTAAATGAGTAACAGCATACCAAGTAGGACTTGGTGTAACTCCTCAGCTCTCAGTTGACTAAAGTTGGCAGCAGCGGACGGGAAGCCCCATCACCGTGAGTTATTAGCAACTTGATAAAATGGGCAACTACATGAATATTTTTGCTGTGGATTAAAATACCTAAAACTCAAGAATCGCATCTTACTGGCCTTTTAGCCCAAGGATGTACTCGGAAGAATAGCCCCCAAATGCTTTCCAACTGACTGAACTAACATATGAGCTTCTAGAGCCCTATATTCCATAAAGATATGCAAGCTTCTCAACTACGACAAATGCACAGCATACCCTCGCACATCAGCAGTAATACAGAAAATAGAGAGAGGGAGTGTAAAACGACTGATGGGCAGCTTATTTGATTCGTATTATGAAGACAGACTCGGAAACTGAGCCTAATCCCTCAATAGTATAACCAAGCTAATGATTATCTGATTACCCTGAGACGATTAATACGAGGGGATTCCGGACCCGGACTATAAGCTTCACGTTCAAAATAACGAAGGGGAGACTGTTTCACTTCATGAAGGATTCTGCAAAATCTCCGCCTTCCACACATGGAGCTGTTACCAGCTGGAACTATGGTTACCTTCTGTCGTGGTGGTGGAGGCAGACAACAATACGTTTAAATATAGACTGGATCAATGTTTGAGAAGAATATAGAACAGGCTGAAACTGTCAGTGTAGAAAAATACAGGAGAATGGCATGGAGTAGGTCAACGGAAATTTACCATTGACTTACACTACATTAATACTGATATTGAATCCTGAAGTCAGCTGCGATGTGGTTCGGACCCAATGTAGTATGTGGCATATGTTGCTGTACTCGCCCTTGATCTAAACCGACCTGGTCTGTGACTACCTTTCGGAGACAAGAACAGTACGGTACACTTGTGAAGCCGACTCATCCTAGCACAGGAGACATTTACAATATAGGGCAATAAACAACCCTTCAAAAGGAGTCCGTTGTGCTTGTTTGTACTGGTCCTGATGAGTTTTCTTGTCCATGACCAGAATATATATTGCAACAGTGACTTAGATGACAAAAGTATTCACTAACAACATGAGAATAACCAAGGTATCCTATAGTACAGTGGCGACTGGAAACTCCGTATTAATTTTCAGGAGGTTTGGGGTGCGGGATCAGAAGTTGAAGCAGATCAGGTCTGATTTGCAAAGTAATCCATCATCTCCAGTTACATTCTTTTGAAGTTTTCAACTGTCCAGTAATATCTGAGATCTCGAAAGTGACCATGACATTCAGTTACATATATATGGCACCAAATGGAAAGTGAAGGTTATGAATGTAGAAATTCTGGAGAAATGTAGTGCATAGTTACATAAATCAACTCGCCTTCCACGAATGTGATCTAAATTCGAATTTACATTAGAATCAGCTTGTAAATAATACAATGATTTTCAACTGTGTAGACTCAACAAAGTTCGTCATGATACGTTAGGAAGTTCTTCTGCTCAGCGCTGGGAAGTAACGAGTGATGTCGATTGAAAGACTGCCAGGCTTTACAAACTTATCAAATTATCAGACTATCAACATTTTAGCCGCCCTATCTTAGGCGTGCAATTACCAAAAGACAGTGTTCTGAAATCGAAAAGGCCTATTTCGGTTACTAAAAGTGCCCCGGATCTGCCGTGCGCCTTCAGATCTTCTATACTTCTGACTGAGCAAAAGTTGTGTGAACAACAGAATGGTCACTGTATATTTGGATGGTGCCGTAGTGCAAAACAATCAACCCTAGCGAAATATAACTTAGCCTATAACTTAGACTACTGGTGTTCGGTGGAAGCACCAATTCAATACACGTGATTCTTCTACCAAGTGTGCATCACGTTCATCACCGTACGCGCAGAAACTGTTGAAATCACAACAAACAGTAAATTTAGAGTGAGGTCGAGATTTCACTTCCGACAACTGGATCACTCACTTGACTGAGCTTCTTGAATTCCACTAGTTCGTTGAAAATGACTTCTAGGATAACACGTGCACAGCGTTTCTCGCTGGGGATTTTCCTTGATACTGCCAGTATGTCACCACATTCGCGGACAAAATACTCTAAATCGTCTTCAGTGCCTTAAGAATGACCGAAACGAGATGAGGGTTAAGAAAGAACTGCAGTGTATTCCATGCGGGAATTTCACATATCTTCTATGAGGAAGAGCTACTAAATAATGTGCCTTGGTTGCCCAATAGGATATACAGAGGGCTCTAGTAAGATGTGTGATGTTCATCTCACTACAAAATGGTAAATCCTACCTATAAACTCGAGCAAAACAAAGTTAACAATCTAGTGTCCTCGGTAGGACCTCACTCTCGGAATTCGGCTGAACAGCGTGATTCCGGATCTCACTTAACCTATAGATTAGCCAGTCACATGTTGAGTTATACACTGGTTACGTGAAAGTCGGATAAATGGTATAATTTCGGATAGGTTGAACTTAATTTGGCCCACTTACCGGAACTACGTACCAGACAGTGAACACTGAGTCAAAGTAGACGGATTCGGAAGGCCCTGTGTCACTAGTATTCCGAACCCAGCCAGAATGAGTGGCACCACCTCCATGATCACATTACTAATTATTTACGTAGGCTATGCACAGCCTTCCACAATCCAGGTGGACCATACTGTGAAATCACAGATGGCCGAGTGAGGTGTGGAAGCTTCCAGATTACGAATGAAGCTGTTGTATCAAGCTACTGACAAAGTACTTCAGTAGCGCAACATAGAAAACAATCCACAAACGCCATCCATACCACTTTGGATTCGGCTGTGGTAATAATGAACTCAGCACCAAACACATCCATTTCAATAACAATTGAGTAAAACCGCGCCATTTCACGCTTGCCCACTGACTGCTGACCCTTTCCGGAAATACAGCACAAAAATGAGTTTGAAATGTTTTCCTCTTTTAGCGTGGAACGGACAAGATAGTTGCATGAGAATACGGTGTTCTTTGGGGTGAAAAAAGCATGGCTGTACAATCATATGAGTCGAATTGGATTATCTCAGTGAGACCACTTATCACCTGCAGTCGGTCATGAGTGAAGACCATATGCTGGGTGGTCAGTTGAGGCAAAATAAAACATAATAGCACGCGCCTGTTCGGCCGTCGTATGCATGTTGGAGCCAGAAAACAGACCATTTGACGACCAGACAGATATGCTGTTGACGAATACCCACAGCAGCGACGATCACACGTCTGTATTGGTGGAGACAGTGTGTCGGCACCGTTAAAATTTGAAGCCATGGTCACCCTCACACAAATAGCCAAATTAGTGTGAATGTGCGCTTTCACTTATGTCATTCTAGTTAGAGGTGGCACAATGGATCAAAAGGCCTCTCTGCTTTGTCATTGTCAGGAGAGTTTCACTAATTAACAGAGCCCCACCAGCTCACAGAAAGGTGACTGGGGGGCGTTTTTAATGGAGCCATTCTGTCTGTTCCTGAGTGAGGGAATGCGTGATCAAAAAATTCTACTTGACATATGGGAAAACCGCGTTTGTAGCTGATGATAAAAGATAAATTAAAAGGGTATCCCGATCCGTACGATTAGGGGAGATGAGATACCTAACAAAGTTTAGTGCGCTGTGGGTTCATTAATTTCCGTGTCTCCTAATCTTTCGGCGTTATTACTTTGAACGTGACCATCAATATCCGTCAATAGGTTTGAACTTAGTGCTGCTAGTCAGTTTCAACGTGAGATAATTTATGTGATACATATTGGGATTTTTCCATGGTAACATTTTTATTCAATTTCTGTCCATATCCCCTCTGGGATCTTGAAGCTTTTACCAGAAATACGTCCAACACTGTGTACATGCACTTGTGTAATCAGACACGCTCCACTCAACCTATCATCCGTGACATCTACCCCTTGTAGCACAGCAGCTCGTAGGTACCAAATGAGGCCTCCTTAAATCTGTAAGAAAACTCGCGGTGTTGCGCATCCTGGGAAAACATCTAAGGAAAATAGTGGGGGCCACTTTTCGATATTCAAACTATAAGATAGTGGGGTGTTCATTTTACGACACTTCTATGATTTGCTCACCCGATTTCTTCTTCCGCATAAGAAAGGCGAACACATTCTGCAGTGTGACTATCGATTATGTTTTTAGTGGATGTCCAGGCCTACGCATGATGAGTTCCTTGGATGACTCAGTTGGCAGTACGTTTGCTCATGAATCTTCATAATGAGTGCTACTTAGTTCCACGCACTTGTGGATTGGAGAACAAACCTGACGACCTGATGACTATGTTGAGTAACAGAGCTATGAGGACGCAACACTTTTCATCCTTTTGGCTCAACTACCTTTCTGAAATTTCTTCACACTCGCAAGGGCCTGAAATAAAATGGGCTTCTCAACATATGTTAAACGGCTTTGACGAGAAGAAAATTTTGCCGAGTGAGTACAACATATCACGTCAAGTTTGTTGTGATTCAGCCAAATAAAACCTAGAAAAAGAGTTCAATTGCAGCAATTTTGTTTTATAGACAACACAATAAGCTGAAGGACGTTTGGCTTTTGGAGAAGAATGTCTCCATATGTTCCAAATCTTCACCTTCAGCTTTTCAAATCGGTCTAAGTTGTATGGTCTTTTGTGCAACTGTGGATAACGCAGCAAATTTAAAAACGCAGACGTACATTTGTTGGTTACTTGGGCTAAGCGGGCCTTGGAAGTTGAGAATTGCTCATCCAGGTCAAATAGTTCTAGTGGTGGAGGACCAGGTTCACGAAAGTTCGGTGGAAATACCTGATAATGCGGGAAGATAAATACGGTCGATTAACCTGCAATCGATTATTTTTCCGTGCCAGTAGATCTTCATGAGACTATATATTATTAGCTAAACTACTCTAAGAAAGCATTCCTACAACAGGAAACGTACTGCTGTTTTACCGGATCCTCTGAAAAGTATGATTCACATGAGTCAAATGGAAGAGACAATTACAAACTTCCTCTGTCACAGTACTACGTCACCAAAATGTCTGCAGGTGGCTAGTCTTAGCAGGTCGATCCAAGTCCCCTATTAACACCAGTTTTTCTGTGGTGAATTCCTATTCAGGGATCCAAGTGTCCCAAGTAACAATTTTACGCTAGAATGTCACTGATTTTTCTGTACTGCCCTATCACATCGTCATGATGAAACCAAGTGCTACACTGATAAGTGTGGGGTGGTCGCTGTTCACAGGCAAGCCGAATGAACAATACGCCGTAGTTTGTTCTCCTGCACTTGTACCTTTAAACAAGTTTTATCCACTTGAAGAATAACGCGACAGAAGAGGGTTGGGTGCTTTCGGTGAGGAAAGTCCACTGAAACATTCGTTTCAGTCATTTCCAATTGGAAACGCTACATTTCATCCCGAGCGCTGACCTCCTGGTAGATAAAATAACCATAAGCAAGCAATTTTGATCCATTTACGAGGATAGACATGATATCCCAATTTTTATGTTGCCATAATCGAGACTCAAGGCTTATGTGTTCTCAAAGTGGTGTGAAATAATGAGGGTTGCCATGTCTGAACAGGAGGAGGATGATTTGACCAAATGAGACTTTCATTTCTGACACGAAAATTCGTCACAATATCATACGAAAAACTGTTTGTCACAAAGCGAACTTCACTTCAATTACGCTGACCAATTCAATTTTCCTTCAAAACATGACCCTTAAAATTGTCACAATTTTACTACGCACAGTCTCGTTGAGCAACAAAATGAAGCGCTTTGCTCACCGCGGGTTGAACAGGTGGCAGTGGTGTCTCAAACTGTGGGGTTATCAGGCTTAATGGTTCATGTTTCACACGTAGCTTTTCATATGCTCTAAAAAGATAATAAAGTTGCAGTTAGGCGGTTATGTAGGGAGGAATTGATTAGGAATGCGTCATAATCACCATAGTTCTGAGGAAGCCAAATTAAAAGAATGTCCGTGAGGTGGACAACAACAGCAAGTCTTTAGCTGTCATTTTTTATAAACATGGCCAGATTTACCGGACCACGACACAGCAATATCTTTAAGATTACATTCATTATGCCTGCTTCGATATACTCACGTTTAAAGGTGGTCTATTGTGTTTCTAGCCTTGTTTTTCCAAGTTCTGTATAGTAGTCTGACAACTACAAGTAGTCTCGTGTCCAAGATCAAACGCCTAGCTAGTCGTTCCTGAATGAACACCAGAAAAGCCCAGGACTTCGTTTACCAGTACGCGTAAATGGAGACAAGAGGAATTCAAAAATACTGAAAGCCAATGGACATAACAAATTAGCTTTTCTAGGTAGGCGATATGTCAGGAAAGGGTTCGTATGCTTGTCTAATAAGAACGAAATTGGGGTTTGGTGTGATGAAATCACATCCAAAAACCTTGATGAATTAAATTAACTTTAATTAACTTTAAATTAACTCTACGTCAACAACACAGGGACGCAGCTTCGCCAATTCCATGACAATAAGCACAACAACAAGATTAGAAAACCTCAGGCGTTATGGAGCAGTATTTGGTGACCAACTGTAAGTCTCTGTTCGTGGCAGTACACACTGCAACACACCAAAATCCCTGCATAGCGGTTCAGTGACGCAGGCTGTTTGTGGTTTTTACCTGGAAACTGTACCGGCGTATTTTTCCGCTTTATCACAGCAACTTTAAAACCGTAATGAGTTGTTTTTAAAGGGTTTCATGACAAGCTATAGGAAACCGAATAACTGTCAGTTGTTGAACTGGTGGAGATCTCACGAAGAATGCTAGAGAATGCAAAGCCGAACGTGGTAGGCACATCAAGATCCAATCTGAGAAGATCTGGAAAAGCCTCATGATATCTGTGAGTGGTTTTGCACAGCCACTAACCCACCGCTACGCACAACTATGCACTGATGATGTCACCTCGATTGGTGATGAAACGTTTGCAACCAAATTGTCCAGCTCAACGAACAAGCCAACGACCATCTACGCTACCTGAGCTACCGACATTCTCCTCTATAGAATATTTCCGACATGTACAGTTTGCCAGAAGCTTTAAATATAAATGTGACGGAAACACCAAAGGTGAACTTAATGAGAATCATTTAAAGCATGGCTGGAACTAAGGGATGTCCGGTGGTGTATGATGAACCTAGATATTGTTATACAATTGTTATGCAGTTGCCTGTAAAAAGAGATCGACCCTTATAAAAATCGAGCGAACACAGTTAGCTGCCCTCAGATACGTCCCCCTCAAGATTGTGCAATGAAGACAGTCAGTTCCATCCTCGTTATCATCATCAGAGAAAGCCACATCAGCGATGCTTTTTTGCATGCAACCACACGGTTTACTTATTTGTACTTAGAGCCTTAAAGTGGAAAAGTAAAAAGAGTGCATGAGGTAATGGCTTGTTGCCCGCCTACCCCAAGCATTGGTTATGACTCCAAGCACTCAACCATACATTCTGTAAAAAAAGTGACACCACTACCGCCAATGACATCAATCAGCCGTTACTTACTGCACGACCCAAAAGAAACTAGCAAAACTCAACGAAAACGCAGCCCAATTCTTGGCTTGGTCGAACTGCAATAGTTACCAACTACGCAACTTTGTTGGAGAAATTATTAAGAAATAAATTACGGTTGACGGCGAAACAAACTCTAGGTGGTCGGTAGCAAGATGGCTCAGACGCGCTCAGTAGGAATTTGTCAGTCTATCTTGGAAATGAGCAATCGGAACAAAACATATGCAAAATTAAATTCACATGTATATTTGGAGCTGCTTGATAAAGTTTTGCTGACAAAGCCAAGGAGTCCTTATGTCAGGAGATTTTTAGCGGGGTTTCAGAATAAGATCTTTTAACTCAAGTTATGACTGTGCTTATTGAAAAGATTTAGTCAACTTGTACTCGCGTCGATTCTCCTGCCATCGCGCCAACGCAAGACAAGTGGGTCAGGGCATCTTTTGAAACAGGACGTGAGCTAGAACCATGAGACAAGGAAGCACCCAAAAACGGCCCATTTACCAAGAAACTTGACCTTCTGTTCACTATTAAAAATACAGAGTTTTGTCTGTTTGAACAACTCTGGTCATTCAGAGCCAAGTATTTGCTATTAATAACTCGCAAGCGGACACAAATTACTGTTTTTAATGAGAGGTTTGGAGTTAGGAAACTATGTTTTTTTTAACTAAAGTTGGCTTTTGTACCTTCAACTCGGCTCCAGTCATCGTAAAAAGGTAAACAAAAGATCCAAAACCTATTTGAATTACTGTGTTTTGTTGATTTCTGCTGCTTAGACCGCAGTATCACAAACTGTGTTCGCAGAACATTCTGGAGGAAAGTCATTAGAATGATGCTTCGGTGTGGCGAATATTACCATCTTCACCTTAGATGCACCTTACTCAGCGTTTCTTGTGAACAATAAATAATAATAATGATAATAAATAATAAGGTGATAAAAATTCAGCAACAAGAAAATTTAGCTGATTTACTCAAAATGATTTAAAATTAGTATAAAGTTCATGGGCTTTTTCGACTATAACCAGGTTGACGCATTCCGATTGCGGTGTACCCTTTTACAAAATACTTCAGAAAATTGGATGGGCTGCAGACGAAATAAATTACTGTCTCCGTAAATAGCGTCCTTGTCAACGTCAGTTTCTGGAGGATAAATGCAACTTTTTTGCCAAGCACTATCAACCTCTCTGTCGTTTACACTTTGCCCAGCGATGAATGAAACGAGAAGACGTTTCCCCACTGGGCAAAGTGCATTTCTTACTCAATGTAACCTACGAAGTCTGAGTAATTCATCCATCATGGTAGATTTTATATCAGGAAGGTTAGATTTCTGAAAGTAACCCTTAAATGCCCGACAGCCATTGAGACCTTCAGCTCCACTAGATGTTGACCAGACAGACAACGCCCCCCAAGTATGCAGTGAGTCACAGCTTTGCATCAAAACCAAATAGTGTGAGCCAGCGTTGGACCAAGTTCAAGCTTGAGGCCGTTGTATTTTTGCACTCACTCTCTTGTACTTGCTTGTTCAAAATAAAGCTGTCGTGCCGCATCCGGTGAATCCTTTTCCGGCACTAGACACTGGAGCGGGGTCAGCAGTCAGACACAACTGATTGGTAATCAGCGAATATAACAGTTCACTTCTCCTAAGAGCCTCTATTGTATCTCAGCAGTGCACATTCCGTGTGCGCAATCGATCAAACAAGTGCCTTAAAGACATCGATGGTCAGAGACGGATGTTCTATGCTAATGGAAACCATATTTTTGATGCATAAAAGAGCATCGGTCGCACTACCGGAGTGTATGCTCTGTCCTTGATTAGCGAAATGGCATCTAGTCGGTGGCATAAATGTTGTGGTTTGGTAACTATTTCTCTGACCTTCCTGATTTAATAAGAAACCCCATATTCAACAGCCCAAGTAAACAAATTTATCTACCGCGTCTCGTCGTTCACAAACAATATTTTCCGCGTACTCAATGGGTTTGAGCAAACATCCCAAGAGCGTTTAGACCCCCGGAGTTTCACAGACAGGCAGAGAAACTCAGACAGCATATCAATCATAAATCTCGAAAGGGAAGGCAAGATTAAGCAGCAGTGTCTTACACCGTGCTGAACACAGGCAAAATTGCCGTATACTAGCACTTATTCACAGGAATTTCCACACAGCGCTCTGATAAAGAATAATTATTTGAGAGTTAGACACCGCAAAAGCTTCTAAACACCGCCAAAGTCAAAAACATCTTTCAGATCCGAAAAAACGATCACTGTTTGACATTTAAAAGAGTGGCGCTGTTCGAGAACTTCTGTCAAGGTAAAGATATGGCCGAAGTATCCGCGAACACAGCTTATCCCACCTTAATTCTTAAGAACCTCTCTCTCAATGATCGGCCAGCCTGTGCGAAATAATGTCAGGAAGGATATCAAATTTCACTCCTGTTAGACTGGTGCTACGAAGTTTCTCATGAGTCTATTGTGCTCATTTCGAGGACTGCGATTTAGGCCCAGGGGCTGTGCTCTACCGGCATTCTGCAGTGTGTCGTAGGGCTGCTCAACAGGGTTTAACAATAATCCTTCAAGGGTGCGGGCTGCGAACCATCTTGACCATGTGCCTTGTGTTGTTGGAGGTGTAGTTTTGCGCACTGGATTTTCACAGCTAATGGTAAGCTGCTGTTGATCCGCCATCGGGGCCCACACAGTTCTTCCAGAATTTGTGAGAAAGGAAGCTGTTTGAACTTCTCTACAGTGTTTTACCTTTCGATCGGGAAAACGATTCTGATAATAAACTGCTGTCCTTTTAATATATATTTCTCTGAAATTTGATTGCTTTTGACCAGTCATCTAAGTCAGCCAAAGTAAGGCACGGATTTTACATGTAGTGAAAGGTTTCCCCCCTCGACCTCTCACCAACATTCTATATCATTCTCAAGCCCATAATTATCCTGTGTTTGAGATATTTACGTGCGCCATCACATTCGTTGGCTACTAAAATGATCATTCTGGCGGCAATAGGATCTTCTGGCCTGACAAGACCCATTGTTTACCCAGTCGAGTAAGATAATTTGAGGAGATGGTTCTGAATGCTGATAGCACAGCTCGCTATCTTGCCACCATTCGGCCTTCATGCTTTTTCAGTAGCTTTCTAGCCTGATCAGTTCTGTATTATTGAAACTTGTCTGCACTGACAAATGAAGTTTCTCTCCTTCGATACGCATAATGGTAATAGAAAGCGTAGAGACGACTGCGCTCGCAAAATCACGTTATTGTGATCTTGGGTCGGACCCTAGAGGGAACAGCAATCTTTACTAGAGGCTCACCACAGGCTGTTAATAACCATATCTTGCTTTCGGTTGATGTTCTCTAAGCAATTCGACGTAAGTGTTTGTGCTAAAACTTGTACTAGAAAGATAGAAATAGTGATCATCACGCAACTGAAGAAGTCTCTTCCAACTGTACACACGCTGAGCATCGACTCCAAACGTTTTGGGCTTAACGGTCCTACTTTGACGTCAATACCACTTATCCAAAATGCTTCATCTGTTCTTGTTGCCGACCAAAGCAGTCGCAAGAGATGTCTTTAAGACCCGTCCTTTTCATCCTCAGAAAGGCAGTCGTGATATATGCTGATATGACAAACAAATGCCGCTTGGGGCATTGACATGCACTGACCTCAACTGGGCAAACAGACCACACAGTGCGGACAAGGTGGGCAATCAAAAAGTAGGACGACAGTCTATGTGACCGCAAAAGTTTAGCCCACTGCCTTCTCACGCTACGCAACAAGACACTTGCGTTTTTCCTTTTATCAAGAACAACAGGAGCTGATTCATATAACTCAGGGCCTTGATTTTGATGGCTACTGCGGAGAGACGTATAGCATAGTGCCTTCTGTTTGCGCCGCTCTGTAGTTAAGGCGTTTGCAGAGGTATATTACGACTAAGTTTGGCATCCTTCCAAGTTTTGACACCCCGTTTGGTAATAACAAACATAAAAATAAGTCGAAAAACGGCTTACTCTATATAAATACTCTATACTATAGTTTAGAGTCAATCAGTCGGTCGTCTCTTATCCAAAAAACCAAGCATCGAAATACAGTGGTTTACGCAGCTTCAGCTTTGCTTGTCTAGGATAAAAAAGTGACGGATGGAGATCATCTTATTGCACGCGATGCCACAGGCAATTTTTGACGGTAAATGTTATTTTTTCCTTTCTTTAAAGAGTCTGTAATCTACAATTTTGTTCCGGGATTTCCGTTGAATGCATGACATGTCCACAAATTTCATGAAAACTATCCAACAGATTACATTATTTCCTGGTTCATATTGTGCAAAGAGGTAGTTACTGTCACTGCTAAGTTGACTGGTAAGTGGTGTTGTTCCTCGTTTCAACGTCACAGACTGACAGGTTCTGGGTGGCTTTTGACTGGTATATAACAAATTGAAAGTAGTTTCGTGAGACAAACGATCCCCTGACATGCAAAATATATGAATACACAAGTTGAATGTGACGAGTTTAGCCATCTGACATGCTGTTGGAAAACCGCTCTTCATAACAACCACCTGGAATATTTTAGCACTAATGTAATTAGGTTCTGAATATATCCGCACAATGCCTTCAGAGCAGCGATGGAGAAACACGTATGTTCTTCCACTAGGTTTTTACACCTTTTAATTATTAGACATTTAAATGGTAAACGAGTGATAGCACAAAATTCACCACAAGCAGAAAAGCAAAAGAAATTAAAAGACATTATGACCAATCATTGTACATTCTCCTGTTGAACTAGACAGAACTTTCCCATTTGCTCTTGGCTGCACACCTAAGTACCTAATATTTCCATGTAAGACGCGGGTATCAAGTGTAAAATTTAAAATTAACGTAGTTCAGCAGCGGTCAACAACGTTATGCTTGGAGTGTGCTGTTTAATCAGCATATTTATTGAAAAGCTCATTGAGTTCGTTCAAACCAGTGGACAGACGTACAGAAATGTCATGTCCATGTAAAAGCCATATGTTAACATCAGGTAAGCCATTTGCATAGAAGTTACGTATCAGCCTGCAAGTTTTTCAATATGAAATTGCAGGTTTACGAATAAATGAAGTGAAAGTAGAACCACCGTACTGTTAGAAGGTCAGTGCATCAAGCCGGCTACGATGGACGAGGATACTTTGTACTTAAAATGCGTAAATAACCTACTCAAGAGCCTTAGGAACAAGGCTCAAGTTCATATTGAACAGTCCTTGGTTGAAAAGTTCCGCAAAATTTTGAGGAAGTTCATCACTTTCTTGAAGACATGATTTTAAATTGTTTGCCAGGCTTGTGATATCTGGAACTTGATGGTAGGGCTCGATTTCGGGGTCTTCGGCATCGATAATATTCAGCTTTATGGCGTCATTTGAAAGGTAGCTCAGCAGGATCTCGAGAATTTTTAGGTTATCTTCTTTTGTGACATAAGCATCAGAAAACATAGCCGCGCTACCAACGACCGCAAGTGCTCCACCACCATTACCCTGAAAACCTAGAATACTTTCTTAGAATAATGTGGAAGTACCTCGACCTTATAAACAGCACAAACAGGTCTATTAAGTGGAAATGCAACGCTTCCCGTAGAAAGTAGAGCAATGGCTGGTTTGGCGACATTCAGTGTGGATCCATAAGGATAAACAAACTGCATTGCCATCTTGTGTGGTACATCCTCAATAGCAGTGTTTGTGATTGACCTGTTTGCAGCCTCGGCCATCGCCCTGAAGAAACACGTATATTTGGAAAACAAAAGCAGTCCAGGGTACCGATTTAGTATTCCATTTGGAATCAGTGCTTCTTTAGGATGGAAATATTTGAAGTAGGACGTGCGGACGACTGCATCTACACCATGACAAATATTTAGGTATTACAAGATTTTGGAACCTTAAGACACATCTTACCGCTGTTGACCATGATTCCATATTGCTCCAGTAGAAAATTTATATTGGTTGGGTATTTACATTCGCCATTTTCGCCCATTAATACCAGAATTGAACCACCGTTCTCTATGTACTGTTTCATCACCGAAAACTCGGCTGCGCTGAATTTTTCAGTAGGACCGGCAATCACAAAGATGTTAGCCATATTTAACCGATCAAGAGTGATTTCATCTTTATTTCTGCAAAGTATCCATAGGTTATTGGAAATTTGCATTATACACTATAAATTTCCAAAACGTTTTGAAGCGCTTCGACAGCTCCTTAAAATTAGCAGACAACGTGAAGTATTCCTTTTTGGTTTGGTTGAATATTATTGTGTTCTCTCGAGCTGTGTTGATCAGCGAATCCGGTGGTCTCATTTTTTGATTACTGTTTCATATAGCGCGGCTCTATAAACAGGTTCCACTTTTAGCCAACTGATGTACTCAAAAGTTCACGGATTCACGGATTGATACACAGGATCGAGGCTTTTGCCCAAGTTTCCCGGGTCGCTTTTGTTCTTGTCGGCCAGTGGCTGTCGTTCACCTGAAAGGCACAAGTGAAAAAAGGGTGTAGCACTGTTCTTTATGTTCTCAGCGCGGGGCAGTATGCTTGCCAGCGCGAGGATTCGCATAAATAAATAACTAATAGTGCTTTGAATTGGGTTCTAGAAAGAGCGTGAACAACCGTCGGAGGGAGGTCATTCCACGCGGCTACTACCTGAAATGAGAAAAATTTTGTCTAATGAATGTGTCTGCCCTGAGCTTAAAAATTTTCTTACTATGTCCTCGCCGGGTGTTTGCTGGGTCAACGGTAAAAAACCTGTTTGCCAAGCTTT